TAGTGTATGCATTTCGAATTTTTCCACTCATTAAAAATAACTCAAAATATAACATTTTTTTCTTTATAACCTTTTATTTCCTCAGCAATGGAAAAGAGCAGCTTACTAATGAGTACAAAGAACTTTTCAGTTTATTAGATAGTGTGTGGATTTTTGTGAGGACTAGTTTAGGCTAAATTTCAATAATAACTTGCCATCATTTTAAGCAGTGAACTATAAGAATTCATTTCAACTAATATTAGGCATGACACTAATTCAGTATAAATGCTAAGCACATTAGTAATTACAGTACAGGGCACTATTACTTTCCCATTCTCTATAGTAAGGGGTTTTTTTTGTTATCATTAATTTTTTTCTATGCAAACTTACCATTTAAAGAAACAAAACAGCCCAGTTTTAGAACTTTCACTTTCACTCATTTAATTGCCACTTCATATGACCAAGTTTACTCCTCAATTCTATCATGATTATATTCATCTGACTAAATCTATCAGAGTTAATATGATAGTTACAGGTGTTTGAATAGCTGTTCTTCTCTCATAGGAAACCAGTCTGTTTGTTTTCTTAAAAGAAATGTACCAATGAAAAGAGAATCCTTGTCTAATTTGTCAAGGTGCAATTAAAATTATATTGTCTGACTCATTGCCCTTTCCAGTCCAAAGACAATTTCCAAGGTATATTATTATACATTGAAATAGAAGTCATGATTGCTTTTCTAAAGCATATTCACATAAAAAATGCATATTTTTAATGTGCCTAAAACTGCCATTATGGTTCTTCCTTGCTTCATTATCAGTAACTTTGAAAACAGAAATGTAATGCATTTATAAAATAGAGAAGCACAGTAAATCTGAACTAAATGGGTTGGCCATCTTGGTTTACCCCAGGATTGAGAATTACTGGACAGTTCCAAGGAAAGTTAATGTTAAAACTGGGTCAACCCCAAGCAAATTGGTTACTCAAACCAGAATGGAATGCTGTTGCAGTCTGTAGAGTCTTATTTTTGGAGGGGAGAGTAACTTTAGGAATAATCTTGTTCTTGCTCCGCGTTTCTCTTTCATTTGCTTTCCCAACCCTAAAGTCAAGGTAGATCATGTAAAGGACACTGTGTTCTCTCTGGACCTAGAATCAAAACCAGTGGAAGCACTAAGAAGTTATGCTCAAGGCCAGGATGGATAGATAGACTCTGAGCTCCATTCCATTCAGTGTGTGATTCAGTGCCTCTATTTTATTAGATCAATTGGATGACAAAACCATTACAATTCTTTTGAAGCTATGTATGTTGGTAAAACATGCAAGCATACTTTATTTAAAAACCTGTCCAGTATTAAAATGGATCTACTTGGTTGAATATCTCAGCAAATGATTGCAAGTTCTTACTAAGGAAGACAAGGTGATATTTATTCTCAGGCATGATGGTCGGTGCAAAGCTGAGTAGATTAGAGTTCAGCACACCACTGCATAGTCTGGCTTTAAATGGAACTTTCCTTCTACTTAAGCGATAGAAAAGGGAATTGTGATTTGACTTTGGAATTCCAGAGTATGGATTCAGTTTCTTCAAAATTATATTATTCTAAAAAACAATCTAGCATCAAGGTTTTATCCTCGTTGGGAAATGTCTGTGGGTTGTGGAGAAGGGAAGATCTCTCCATGCCATTCTACTCCACTCCACTCTAAATTCATGTACAGACTTGTGCTTGGACTCTGTCCTTAACTTAACCAATTAAATTTGCTATGGGTTACATAGTAAAGACAATGTATATATTGAGAAGAAATCATAGGAACTTGATGATTTTTTAAATAAAATTTAGTTGTAGCTTTTACCAGGTACTATGCAAAAGGCATTTTAAAAAACATTAGAATCATTCAAATGTTTAAAATGAAATAATCTTGTCCCTTAAAACCTAAAGAGCCAGCTAAAGTCACTTACAATATTCTCCTGATGTCAAATGTGGTGTGATTCCAGCATTTCGGAGGCTAAGGGAGAATAATGGAGAACTCATGGTCAGTCTGGCCTACATGGCAAGTTCTAAGCCAGCTTGTGCTTTGTAGGGAGGCCCTGTTGTAAAAAGAAATAACAATAAAAATAATGCACAACATTATATTCTGTATCCTGAGTAGCTTTGAAAGTGTAAGTCATCTGAAATAATCCACTCTTTCCTCCGTTTCCTTTCTTTGTGTTTGTCCCAAAAGACTCCTTATTTTCTGTATCCTGCAGCACATTTTGTATCATGAAAATTTAATTAAAATGAAAATAGACCATGGATACAGACTACAGTTTGTGTAGCTCTGATAGTTTAAGAAGTAAACAGTCATTACCCAATTTAGTATGAAAACTAGACCTTGATTATCAAAATTCTTGCATAGTTTTGATGTGCTATGCTTTGGGCGACAAGGGGAAGGAAGCAAAATGCATTAGTTTCTAGTTTTCTTTTCTTTCATATGGATAGACTTTCTAAAAGTGAGAGCTTCTCTGCCTTTTTGTGTTTGGAAATGTTAAGTACACTCACTGAAGACTTGTATGGACTCCAACAAACCAATCCCTACTTAGCACTTTTCTACTTAGCACTTTTCTAATGATGTCCCTTATATATTGTTTCTGACATGGTTTTGGACATAAACTTTTGACTTTATGGCTCTCAATAACATGTCTATAATAAATTCATGTGGTGTTAAACATTTTCCCAGGGAAGTGATGAATTCCCAGTGGTTAAATAAGATCAGAATTTGGACTTTTGCCTAGGAGAAGGAAGTGGACACAGAAACATCTTTTAGAATGTAATCAGTTATACAAGTCACAATACTTCTGGTTTGGTTCACTTTTAATTAAACAATAATTCTGAACTGTTATTTACTGCTGCCTACTTGTTAGCTATGCATTACAAATGAAAATGTCGGGAATTATTCACAGCTACATCTACATCTACATCTTTCTATATATTACATCCTGAAATAAAAGCACTTCTGAAAATGTTTGTGTTGGAAAGCAGACAAATTAAACATCTTATGTCATTGGTACTAAGGAGAATTAGCTCATAATTTCTGTGGAAGAATGTTTAGAATTGCATATCCTTGGCCATTTACACCTTTAATTACATGCAGGTATACTTTAAATAAAAATACTTGTGATGCTCCCAGTGGTAACTGGCTCCTACCCCCCTCCCCCCGCCCCCGTCCTCCCCCCCCCTCTTTTAGCCCATGTACAGAAAATTGTATATTTAAAAGAAAAACTATGTGGAAGTTTTTGGTTTGTTTGTTTTGAGACATATTTGTGTTGCTGGCTAGCTTTAAATTCCAGTGATGAGATCAGCAATGTCATTCAATCGGAATTAAAGCCCCCCACTCCCTTTTAGTGTTAAGAGATATGGATAGGTATAACAATGAGGATTTTAATATTGACTATCCAAGAGCAGTCCTTGATAGGCTGCTAAAAGAAACTATAAAGTTGAATGAGTAAAGATTTAGTTAAATATAAGGAATGGAGGTTAAATATTAGATAAGTATTGAAAGGGGGGGGGAGTGCTTTTGAACAAGTGTTTCCAGAATGGGAGAATAACCCTTGGACAGAAAGGTCGCTACCTACTTGTCATCATTTACAGTAAATATTGTGGGCGCAGGATGGAGTTATGGCAGTGATTGGTATGGGATACAATATCCTGCAGTACCTGTCGTATCCCCACCTTCTTTAAAAATATATCTTCATCTTCAGAGTTGTGTCACAATGTTCTCCTTGCCCATCAAGGGGGACGTTCCTTTCCCAACAACTTGGTGGTCATCCCAGTAATGGTCATAAAAGTATGGTCTACTTTCTAAACGCCCTTGGCAACACAGAAATTACTTACCCGCTCCCCGCCCCCTGCCCCCCGCCCCCTTCACCTTCTCCATCAAACCAATCAAAAGTAAACCAGGCCCATCTGAGGGCAGCTCTGCTGCAGAGGGGTTGGGGTGGGGGGACTTCTAACGGGAGAATCCCAGTGACTTTCTGGAGCCCCAGTCCGTTTGGAATTTTGGCCTTTGCCCTGAGAAGAATTGATTGCTCTGAGTTCAGACTCCTCTGGAAGGGGAGAATGAGCAGAAACTGCAGATTAGTTACACCTGTGGGCTGAGGGAGGCCAACCTCCTCCCCTCTCCCCCCAAAGCACCTCGGATGTCACGGGAAATCCCTTTCAGGCACGATCGCTCTCACCTCTGGAAGAGGCAAGTTTCTTTGCAAGCGTTAGCCACCTGTGTGAGGCGCTCCCCGTGGGGAAAGGTGGGGGGGGGGGGAAGAAGCAAGGGCTCAAATCACATCGCTGGGGAGCTTTCCTCGGTGGGGCGGGTCAAGATACCACCAAGAGCTCAGAGCTTTTAGGATGCAAAGTTGACCCTGCCCTTGCAGGGTCCTAATCTAACCTCTTCCAGATCGGTATGCCCTGGAGCCCCCTGACGCCTGTCCAGTTGGCTGGGGGGGTCTTCGCGGTCCTCTGCCTCCCACCTCTCCACCCACCAAGTTGTGCTCCAGCCTTGCTCCGCCTTCGCACCCCCAGCGCGCCCGGAGCTTTATCAGCCTCCCCCCACACACCGCCGGCTTCCTTTGGTTTCCTTTGGCGTCCGGCGTTGGTGATCCTGGCGGAGCAGCCCCTGCCTTGGGAGCACCCCTCTTCGCAGCCCCCCGCATCCCACCCCACTCAAGTCCCCTCCTCCCGGCGGCTGCGGCTCCCAGGCCCCCGCGCCCGCCTCGGGGGCTCTTCTCCCCCGCGCACCGCTGCTGCGCCCACCACGCTGCTGGTTAGATCCCGGGGTGTTTTCTTTCTTTATTTTTGGACCTGCTGTTTTGCTCCGATCCCCCCCACCCCCCCCCACACACACACACAACATTTCAGCCTGTCGCCAAAGCCCAGAGAAGTGGAATCTGCACATTGAAACTCTCGGTGGCTGGAGCGGGGGAACTGGGCATGCTCAGAAGCCAGGGTGGCTGGCTTTGGTCTCAAGTAGGAAGCTTTTGCACTCGGGAGGCAGCGGCGGCGACTTTGGGGAAAGTTGATCGGAGAGGGGAGGAAGCCCCAAGACGCGGCGGAGCAGCGGCAGGAAGGAGCCCCCGGCAGCCCGGAGGAGCATGGGCACCCTGCGAGATTTACAGTACGCGCTCCAGGAGAAGATCGAGGAGCTGAGGCAGAGGGATGCCCTCATCGATGAGCTGGAGCTGGAGTTGGATCAGAAGGACGAACTGATCCAGAAGCTGCAGAACGAGCTGGATAAGTACCGCTCGGTGATCCGACCCGCCACCCAGCAGGCACAGAAGCAGAGCGCCAGCACCTTGCAAGGCGAGCCGCGCACCAAGCGCCAGGCGATCTCCGCCGAGCCCACCGCCTTCGACATCCAGGATCTCAGCCATGTGACCCTGCCTTTCTACCCCAAGAGCCCACAGTAAGCGAGGGGGTTACACGCCCGGGGTGGCCCTGGCCCCTTGGCGGTGGGATGCTGCCGCGGGTCTCTGTATTGTCTGTCGGCCCCCGCCCCTCCGGGCTTGCTGTGTCTGTTGTCATCCTCAGAAATGTTTCATTTTCATGAGCACTTCTTGCCGGGTTGTGCCAGACTCACTGCACATAACGTTGCCTTCGTCTCTTTGTCAAATGCCAAGGTATTTTGTTTTTAATATACACACGCATTCATATATACCACCCTGATACAAGACATGGTGTTGGGAACGCGCCCCAGGTGTGTGTGAGTGACTGTGAACAGAAGAATTAAAAAAACAAAAATCCCCAAAGCCCTGACAAACCTGGCCAGCCAGAAAATCCTAAAGGCAGGCTCTTCTGACTTGAAATGAAATGCGTCTGATATCACCCCCTTATACTTTCTGTTCTTTTGTGGCTCTAACATGCTGGAGCTTCACGCTGTTTCCCTTCAAACCTGATGTTCTGTCATCATCAAAGTGTAAGAGAGAGAGAGAGAGTAAATATGCATTTAGAAAGGGGAAAAATTTTTGATTTCCTGAATTGGATGACATTTACAATCCCATAAATGGAAGCCTACTCTGCTGCTTTTCAAAAGATGTTTCTTAATAACATCTGAGGGAGAATGTTACTTATTTTCCTGAAGGAATTTTTCTATGATCCCTTAATGAACAGCCCTTGTCCCTTCAGAGAGCTTGCATTATTTCCAGGGTCAAACACAGATAGGTACACTTGGATTTGTTGACAGTGTGGACACATCTTTCGCCTTACTCCTGACTTCCAAGGCAAACAGTCTGGTATTCTTCTGGCATTTTAGAGACTAGTGTAGTTCTGATGTCAGTGGATGGAAAAATTGAATGAAACTTGTTACACAACACTCAACTCAGAGTCCATATGGAAAGGAATCAACAGGACATGAGGGCAACCGAGGATGAGCCAGACTACCGGTATGAGCGGTATGTTTAATTAATAGGCAGTGACATGATTAAGAAATCAAAGGATTTCGAGACTCTACTACATGACACTAGTTGGATGACACGTGTTATATAATAACAGAAGGTCCCTTAGAAAAAAGCCTTCCCTTCCTAAATATTGGCAATTCCTAAAAGGAGCAAATTTGCATGAGGGGTCAGACATAGGTACTAGTGGTGGTTTACACAAGTTAACAATTGTACAGGTATATGTGGGTTCCCAGGGAGCTTACCTTGTACCTACATTAGTTCCTTGGCAGGGTTAGCTGTCAGAGGAGTTTGTATTCAGTGGAGTGGAGAGGAGACAATAAGGATGGACATTTCTGAGATTCTGACCTTAGCAAGTTGTCCTTATAGTTCAGCAGACTGAAGCCTGTCTTAGAAACCCGAGTGATCTGAAACCACTGCTACTTTCTCTGGTAAATTGATTTGCAGTCCTGACATGCTTGCCTGTTGTAGCTAACAATGTACATGACCATCTCTCTTGGGCCAAGTTTTGCATAATGAAAAAAATAACTCAAAGACAGCTCTTTGTATCCTTAAGCATTCTTTAGGATCTCATCCTTAGTATCCTTAGGACTTTGGAGTAACACAGAACAAACTCCGCTTTTATAACAGGAATATTTTAATAGGTTTTATAATGAAGTGTGATCAAGCCAGCTGATAACTCCAGTCTAAACATTTTATGAGAGAAGATCTAAAGGAATCTGGGCAGCAGGAAAGGGAATGAACTGGAGGATGTAGGAAGTTTTAGAAGGCTCCGACTGCTTGACACCTAGAAAAAGTAGCTTTTTTTAAAGTCCGTAGTGAAAAATGAATTCAGAGTGGGAAATAGTCCATAGAATCCCACTCTAGTAGACATTGGAATCGATTGAATATTACGTTCTGTTATTTATGTAATAACTTGCATTTTAAGGAACTTAATTGTGAAGGTATTGCCATGGTGGTTCTTGTGATTCTGAAGGATTATACTGAAGAAAATGATAGCATGTCTCCCAAGCTTAAATAATTTTGGAAAAACATCTGTTCTTTTTTCACACTTCTGTAAAGAAAACGAGAATAGAGTTGGCTTGAATGGTAGAGTGCACCTTTCTTAGGGGAAAAAGAAGGATGTTGTATGCACAATGATCATTATCTCATTCCGTTTGAATGACTGTTTAGGAATAGCCTTACATAGAATGTAGAAAACTTGCCATCCTAAACAAGTTTTATTTGCTTTTCAATTTGCTTCATTTTAAATCCTTTGCTTATTCAAACTTACTGGCAACAAGTGTGTGTGTGTGCGTGTGTGTGTGTGTGTCTTTATATTTAGTCTGTAGTGCAAGCTAAAGAATATAGTTATCTTTCTTAAGGTTACACATATTGTGAGTTCAAGTTAAAATGAAACCATCCAAGTAGGCTAAAGTTGATTTCAGCCCCATATTCATATTAGTTTTTAGTTCTCATTCCATTAGATGTAGGTAACTTCCCTGCTGATATTCATTCAATTATTTGATGTATGAAAACATACATCTGAGAAATCTATAAACTAACTTAAAATATGAATAAGCTAGACAGTTTTGGTTTGATCTTATTTTTTTCCTTTAAGCTGGGAAATGGAAAGTAAGATCCTGTCAGATTTCACCATGGAGTTAGGGCACTTCTGCAACATTTCTTAAGATCTGAATAGAAAATTAGGGTCTATATACTACCGTTACCAAGTATGTATCTGGGAATGTAAAATTACTAGGTTGAATGTGTGGAAATAAGTTGAGCAAGTAAACCCCTCAAATGGAACAAACAAAGCCAAGCACCCATTCTGTGAGATCAGATAATATAATGCTTCTTATGAACTTCTAAAGTAATTTTATTCATGATATTTTGACCCTAATAATGGACTCTATATTAGAGTAGATTATTTGCTGTCTGATATTTGATCAAAACCCTCTCCTCAGTCTTAGTGTTATCTAACCTTTTCCATTTTGCGGTCACATTTCCATGCCATTTCTGTTGGACTACATAGATTTCAGTTCCTATCAAAAGTTGTTAGTTTCTCTGTATTTTTGTAAATCCATTGCTTTTCACCTGAGAGGTACATTACAGAATGCTGGCATATTCTGTTTTGTTTTGTGATTGTGATGTACTATGGAAGAGCTGAGGATAAAAGAGAAATATATATGTCTACATATAATTTTAAAGGAAGTGTGGATTTAAAATACACCATGTATGATCTTCGAAACACACTAACTTTATCTCAAGAGAAACATCCTCCTCAGTGTTGTATGTTCAGTTCTGCATTAGGCCAAGGGAATTACATAATTTTAGTGTACTTGTAGAAGACATAATATTAAAATACAGATCTCTTCAAAGGTAGGAATTAATTTTCAAATGTGCCTTACAGGTTAGCTCAATCCTTTTATGAGACGTATGCCATGTACCAAATCTTGTGAGGCATTAGGGGTTAGTGACACATAGGTCTTGCCATCAAAGAGTTAATAGGGGCAAAAATACTGCAGAGGTAAATAGAAAATGGAGTGAGATGAGTCACACAAGAGACACTAAGACAGTTTGCAAATTATACAGAACTCATTTAATTTTATGCTACCAGAAAAGTTTCATGTAAATGCAAGTTTTTAAACTAAGTATTTGTAGGGCTGACATGACTTAGAGTGGTTACTAATGGGCTGAGAGACAGAGGAGAGGGCTTGGGAGATGGAAGAGCTCCAGTCCAAATCATCCGCAAGGGGACGAAGCAGATCTGGGAAGGAGGGAATGGTAGCAGCTGTGGCTTTACTACAGTACCATAGAGGAGATTGAAGAAAAGTTGAGGACAGACAGGAGAGAGAATCTCAATCATGATTATTTTTATAAAGTAGATAAGAGGGCAGTTCTATTTTTTAAGAGAGAGAAAGGAAGAGAGAGTGTATGTTTTACACTAGTTCGACTAGTAGATAACAAGTTGTTACCTACTTGTAGTAGGTAATTAAATGTTGCCTACTAGCAGGTAAAGCTCTGAATCTCAGAATGTCTCTCAATACTGCTCCCCTTACCAGCGGTTCTGACAGTGGCCATAACAGTAACCACTAGGTAAGCAAGCAGCAGATGAGGGAAACCTTTGAAGAAACTAATTTCACTCTTAAAGGAACCAACTTCTTGCTACTCACTGGAGAATGTTCCATTGAAAATTATATATCACAGACCAGCATTCGAGATTCCTTCCATTTCTTGGCAAACTGAACAAAGATGAAAATTGAATGTAAAGTTAATTCTTGAAATTCATCGGTTCCTGTTTTTGTGGAGGATTTAAATTCTGACCTAACAATATTATCTTGGTTTCTAATTTGAATTTGGTGGTTAATTTGACATTACATTCTATGCAATAAAATAATAGGTGGTGAGGAAATCTTTATAAAAATGTAACACATTAGGTTGCTGGAATTCTGTTAGGGTATTTTGAAACACAGTCAATTTGTGTGCCCCTCAAATGGGGTTTATAAGAAAAATACTGTCAAGTCCTCACAGAGAGTAGCTGTGTAGATTGCCTGAGAATACAAATGACCAACTTCCCTGCTCTTCCGGACCACATTTCTAAGCTCGGGTTACTTGTTATTTCACTGAAGAGTTGGGTTTGGATTCCTAATGGGAAAGGGTAGAAGACAGGCGATGTTTCTATTGTTGCTGTTTGCAGGTTATAAGGCATATGGACATTTTTTTTTCTTCTCTGTCTGCCTAGCAATGGAGGGTCTCCATGGTATCCTAGCAACCATATTCCGAACACCAGGCTGTTGCTCTTTCTGCCATCCCTACCCATAGGTGCTGCTGCCTGTCCCAAGGAACTAACTGGGCCTGCTGCTACCTTTCCAGATCCTCTGACTTAAAACCTTCTGAGCTCAGAAACCAAGACAATGTGACAAATAAGCACACACCGAAAGCAGCATTTATCAACCAGCTCAACAGCTTATTATGCAATCAAATTTGTGGCATTTCCATCCTAATCTGAATTGTTGAGCTGGTGGTGTTT